TTTTGGGGTTCCTTCCATTGCCGCAACTGCACATTGCGAAGCTCTCGTAGGCTAGTCGCCGGTCCGCCCCCGACCTGGCTGCGCCCCCACGCCCGAGCGTGGTATCAGTGAATGTCTACGTGGAAAAAGGATACTTCCCCTGGTGAGGGGACAGGAGGTCACCATTTGTAAAATGGACAGGGACAACATGGATGGCCAGATGCGTTCATTGCCCAAAGAAGGAAGAGAGTTTGATGCGAGAGAGCCAAACACAGCTGTCAGAGTTCCTCCGTTTCAGGGTATAATGATGTCTAAACAAACAAAAAAAAGAAAGGCACATAGGCCCTCGTTGCACTACTCTCGAAATGCACAAAATGAGAGTGAATCTTCGGCCAGAATATGGAAAGATACAAGTGAATCTTCGGCCAGAATATGGAAAGATACACGGCCATGATTTTTGTTTTTTGTGCATGTCGAGAGCAGTGCAGCGAGGCCCATAAGTAGAGAAATCAACCCTGAGGGGGGGTAGGGTAGTTTTGTAAAATTTAAAAGGTTTCCTGCCCAAACGGAAAGGGCCAAAGCATACGACAAAACGGATTTCACGTCAAAGAAAAATTCTACAAATTATTCAGACTTTCCTGTATTTCGGTACCCTTAGATTCTCAATACATCAACGGCAGAGCTCCGTCCCACCATGCCACTCGTGATAGAAAGCTCGGCGTTGAGAAAACTCAACTTGGGCGGTGGGACTTCGCCCCAGCTATAATTGATCCGGAAAAAAAAAAAGGGAAAAATGAAAAAAAAAGAGAAAAACGTATCAAGTCTCCCCGTGGTTTCCGTTTGAGCTCAGCTATAGTTGATCCCCCCCAAAATGAAAAAAATAAATAAAAAAGAGAAAAAATAAAAAAAAGAGAAAAACCTATCCAGTCCCCGTGGTTTCCGTTGTAGCTCAGCGACACAGTTGATCGGTCATAAATAATGTGAACAATTGACATTCGAATTTGCCACGAGTGTCATAATACTCTTATCATCATGATTGCTTCCCATGCCGGCTTTCCTCTCTCTTCTTCCTTTGCCCGCTAAGTGAGATTGATCATTGCGCCACTGGTGCTCTTCCTCTTGTGTCTCCGTCCTCTTGCCTTCCTCTCTTCCTCTTTCTTCCTTTCTCTTCCTCTCTTCCTCCCTCTTCCTCTCTCTTCCTCTCTTTTCCTCTTTTCCTCTTTTCCTCTCTTCCTCTCTCTTCCTCTCTCTTCCTCTCTTCCTCCGTCTTCCTCTCTTCCTCTCTCTTCCTCTCTCTTCCTCTCTCTTCCTCTCTCTTCCTGTCTCTTCCTCTCTCTTCCTCTCTTCCTCTCTCTTCCTCTCTTCCTCTCTTCCTCTCTCTTCCTCTCTCTTCCTCTCTCTTCTCTCTCTTCCTCTTCCTCTCTTTCTCTCTCTTCCTCTCTCTTCCTCTCATCCTCTCCCTTCCTCCCTTCCTCTCTTCCTCTCTCTTCCTCTCTTCCTCTCTCTTCCTCTCTTCCTCTCTTCCTCTCTTCCTCTCTCTTCCTCTCTCTTCCTCTCTCTTC